ACAATAAAATCATCGTCGGAATTAGTATTATCACTAGAATGGTTTTCTTCTGTACTTAATGATGTAAAATCATAAAAATTACTCAAATTTTGATTAGTAACTTTTTCTTTATAGAGTTGTTGTTTTTCTTTTCGTTTATCTTTACGATTCTCTTTTTGCGTGGTAAAAACGTCCACTGTAGACATAAAACCTCTTCTCCCTGGCATCCGTTGTGCCAGTAAAAACTGTCTATCTTCATCAATTTTAATTTTTTTTAAAGCATCAGCATCAGCGATATCGAAGAGATTGGTCAATTTTATATGAAACCCACATTCGTGTTGTCGGTGAAGCTCTGTTTTTCTATTTTTATGTTTGAAAAGATTTAGCCATTGATTATAAAGTTTTTTAAACTTATTTATAGCATTATCTTTTCGAGTTGTCGGTATTCTTGCTTTATTCCAAACAAATGTAACTTCTTCGATCACTTTATTGCATGCATATTTAAACAAATTTTTTCAATACGATAAATATGAAAGAAAAACCGTAATACTTCACCATTAGACGGCAAACGATTACTTGGTACAGTTGAAATAGGCTGACCAATTAAATAAATATAAGTATTACTTCGCGTTGTCATTTTTAATTTACTGAATAAATATATGTATAATTAAATTAGCACTGATTCACATTTAAAGCACACTGACAATTAACAATTAGAGTGACACGAACATCAAAACAGCGCACTGTCAACTAAAATATAATTCTACAATGATAATAGACGTATATCAACCTTTAATATATAGTCATAGTATAATAAGTTATAAACTGTACAATACATAGGAATAACCCTGTCAGAAGTATAGATAAAATGTTTTATTTATTGATATAGTAATAATACAGTCGTATAAGAAAATATTACAATTGCAATAATACTAATATTTATAAGTATAGTATAGGAAAAATACCGTAGGTTATTCTGTACAATAAAAACTTTAAATTGCTTGGGATGGCTCAAAAATAATTTTTTTTCATAAGTATAAATGTGGAAACTATTTTTAAACTCTAGAAAACAAATTTAGATGGTAGGAAGACAAAATTTTTTTAAGTAATTTTTTTAGACCACCCTAATAATTAGTTTTTATATTATATAGTATATAATAAATTTATGTATTTCTTTTAATATACAATAAATTTTTGATTTTTAATTCAAATTATTAACATTGTCAATATATTAATTTATGAAATTTTTAAGAATATAATCTTTTTATATGAAAATAACTTAATGTTAGTAACTTATTTTTTACCAATTGAAGCACCACTGCTAACGACTAAACCTAAACATAGATTATTATTTTTTTATTATATATAGTTAATAAATGCATTCAAATTGAAAAATTCAACGAAATTATCAATTTTCAATCGAAATTATTAACATTATCAATATCTTTTTTTGTGATATTTATAAGAAAATAATCTTTTATTTCGATAAATACTTAATGATGGTAATTTATTACTTACTATTTGATGAACCATCACCATCCTGTTCACCTAAACATAGATGATTATTTTTTATATTATATAATATATAATAAATTTTTGATTTTTAATTCAAATTATTAACATTATCAATATATTAATTTATGAAATTTTTAAGAATATAATCTTTTTATTTAAAAATAAGTACATGTTAGTAACTTATTTCTTACCAATTGAAGCACCACTGAGAGCAGCTATACCTAAACATAGATAATTATTATTTTATTATGTTTCGTTATATTAAAATTGGAAAATTCAACGAAATTATCATTTTTAAACACAATTTATTAACATTATCAATATCTTAATATGTGATATTTATAAGAAAATAATATTTTATTTTGATAAATACCTAATGGTGGTAATTTATTACTTACTATTTGATGGACCACCATCATCATGTTCGCCTAAACATAGATGATTAGTTTTCATATTATATAATATATAATGAATTTTTGATTTTGAATCCAAATTATTAGCATTATCAATATCTTTTTTTGTGATTTTTATAAGAAAATAATATTTTATTTTGATAAATACTTAATGGTGGTAATTTATTACTTACTATTTGATGAACCACCACCATCATGTTCACCTAAACATAGATGATTATTTTTTATATTGCATAATTAAATGCATTCAAATTGAAAAATTAAACAATATTATGAATTTTTAATATAAATTATTAACATTATCAATATTTTAATTTTAGAAATTTTTAACATAACTATCTTGAAAAAGATAATTATCTTTTTATTTAAAAATAAGTACATGTTAGTAACTTATTTCTTACCAATTGAAGCACCACTGAGAGCAGCTATACCTAAACATAGATTATTATTATTTTATTATGTTTCGTTATATTAAAATTGGAAAATTCAATGAAATTANTTATTATTATTTTATTATGTATCGTTATATTAAAATTGGAAAATTCAATGAAATTATAATTTTGAAACACAATTGATTAACATTATCAATATCTTAATATGTGAAATTTATTATAAAAATTTTTTTTTATTCGAAAGTAACTTAAATATATTAATTTATTTCTTACGAATTGAAGGACGATGTCGATTACGTTCGCCTAAACATAGATTATTAGTTTTTTAAAATATCACTGTATTCAAATTGGAAATTTCAACAAAATTATCAATTTTAAATTCAAATTCTAATTGTTATCAATATCTTAATAAGAGGCATTACTGATAAAATAATATTTTTATTTGAAACTATCTACATGTTAGTAACTTATTTCTTACCAATTGAAGCACCACTGAGAGCAGCTATACCTAAACATAGATAATTATTATTTTATTATGTTTCGTTATATTAAAATTGGAAAATTCAACGAAATTATCATTNTTATGTTTCGTTATATTAAAATTGGAAAATTCAACGAAATTATCATTTTTAAACACAATTTATTAACATTATCAATATCTTAATATGTGATATTTATAATAAAAAAATTTTATTATTCGAAAATTACTTAAATATATTAATTTATTTCTTACGAATTGAAGGACGATGTCGATTACGTTCGCCTATACATACATGATTAGTATTTTATTATATATTGTTACATGATAATTTAAATTTAAATTAAATTAAATAATTTTCAAATTTTCAAATTGAAAAATTAAACAAAATTATTAATTTTTAATAGAAATTATTAACATTATCAATATCTTAATTTATGAAATTTTTAAGATATTAATCTTTTTATTCGAAAATTACATAATGGTGGTAATTTATTTCTTACCAATTGAAGCACCACTGAGAGCAGCTATACCTAAACATAGATTATCATTATTTTATTATATATTGTTATATTCTAATTGAAAAATTCAACGAAATTATTAATTTTATTCGAAATTTTAAACGTTATCAACATTTTAATTTCTGAAATTTATAAGAAAATAATCTTTTTATTCAAAAATAATTTAAGGTTGTTAATTTATTTCTTACCGGTTGAAGTACTATCACTATCATATTCATATAAATATAATAGATAAGTTTTAGTATTTAATCTTATTAAAATCAATTAAATTTTGTAATAAATTATATTGTTAGTTGATAATAATAAATAATAATTTTAATATGTTTTGTTGTTAAATTACGGTAACATGCTTACGACTGTATAAATGTTTTTTTTTTCAAAGTGTTTTCCTGTGTTATTGTGAACAAATATAACTTTCTATTATTTTTGTCTTATATGATAAACATTACTTTCTATAATTACATCCTCAAAAAAGTCTGTCAATGTAAATAAAAAATTGTAATTTTTGTCAGTACTTATTAATATTTTGAAACCAAGGATTGAGTTAGAACAAAGTCCAAAATTGTATAGTGATAAAAAATGCATTGCCCGCACTTTCATTCTGTTATTATTTTAAATTATAAAAGTTTTTTACATACTGGTCCGAAAGTTATTATCGACTAGTATTTATGAATGCCATTTTTTATTTTATAACCTAGTAATATATCTATGTTGCCAATTATATATTAAAGTATTTAAAAAATAACACATTATTTTTGATGATATAAAAAACATTTAATAATTTATATATTGAGAAATGTATAAAACTATTAATTTTAAATAGTATGTTCTGGACACTGTTATTGTTTTATATAGTTTACATTTCGATTCGATTACGATATCATCGACTTATTTCATTTTTCCAATGATATAATTTTTTTTTTTTTTTGAAATAACTTATTTATTGAAAATAAAAAGTAATTTAAAAATATTTGATTATTGTGATAAGATATAGCTATTATTTATATATTGTTTTATATTAATATTATTAAGTTATTTGATTAGTATATCATAGTTTGCTTTTTATAACAATGGCAACTTAACGGTATTCTTGAAAATATAAAGATTGGTTAAAACGTTTAGATTATAAATTTAATTTTTAAATATAAATTTTTTTTTTTGATATTTATTTATTATTTCATAAGATATTGATATATCGTAACATCGGAAACAATTTTTATTTTCAATATTCCGATATAATATAGCTGTAATTCAGTACAATTCAATATCATAAAAGAAATCGTTGACGTACTCTATAATTGTAAGAGTAATCAAATGATGATGAGAGTTTTAGTACTTGCGTTTAGTTGAATAATTCCATTCATTATTAATATTTTTGGATTTATTAGTGAAATTCAATCTAGTATGTTTTTTTAAATTTTATTTCGCTAAAAGTATAAAGATTTAAGAGTGCATTTATTATTAATTGTACATCCACATATTAGAAATAAATTATCAACTAACGTCTTATGTACCAGGTATGTAGATTTTTACAATTATTAACATTTTAATATCTCTTTAAGTTTATCACTCCTACTATTTTTATTTCCAATAAATAAATAATTCATTTTATTTTTTATTAAAGCTTCCTAGTTTACATCTGCTTCGTCACGTGTTTCGTTAGCCGTGTTTTGTGAGCGGGGGGAACGTTATACCTAAGGTATAAACGGCGGCAGGGGCGGTAGGAATATAAATATACAGAGTGTTCAGTAAAGGCTGATTTACACGATGCCAGTCGACGTACCAGTCGAAGTCGCCAGTTACTGAATGCCAGCGGCTGGCAACGTCTAAACATAATCTGCCAGCAACTGGAGAAAGCCAGTGGTCACTGGCGTGCCAGCAGATGACATTGCCAGTAAAACAAATTATTTTGTTTTGCTGGCGCGACAGCTTCCCCCCTCCACTACATCACCACAACGACAACAGCTAACTGGCATCGTGTAAACAGCAACAGTCACTCGTCAACTACTGGATTATAACAGTGATATAATATTTTTAACTATCAATGATAACAGTACATCGACACGTGTGTAAAAGTTAAAACTGAGATCGAAAAATCGAAATGGCTAACCGCTGGAATGAGGAAACCACTTGTAAATTCGTGCAATTATACCGCGAGCACGAAAATCTGTGGAACATGTTTATCCCGGAGTACCGTAATCGTAATGCAAGGAGTTCATCTATGGAAGCTATCGCGTCCGAATTAAATTTAACAATTAAAGAGGTAGCCAAAAAAATTAAGGCTCTGCGTTCAACATATTATTTAGAGTTGGCTAAAATAGGAAAAAGTAAATCTAGTGGTTCCGGCACTAATCTTGTGTACAAGCCTTTATTGCCGTGGTTCGATGATATGGATCATATTATGAAAACAGCAACCGTCAAAGAAAAGGAGACGTACAGTAATTATGTAAGTAAAATAATTTATTAATCAGGTATTATTCATTCGTTTATTGAAAAAAAAGGAAATTGATAATTAATATCAATGTCAATATCTTATTATATAATAGAACAAGGAAAAAAACGCTTTTCTGGGAAAATTACTTAGCGTGCTCGGATTTTCAAAAAATTTTTTTTCAACGAAAGTACTCGGTCACCAGACTCCGGGAAAATTATTGGCAAAGGTCGGAAAATTTTTGCCGCTCGCCCGCGAGCGTTTTAAAATTTCGACCGTTTTCGAGAAAAACGCTCGCTGACGCCAGCGTTTTACGACTTAAGGTTTGAAATTTTCATCAGACCCGCCCAATGACATTCCTGAGATATGATAAAAAAATCAATTCAATCCGTTCATTTTTCACCGTTTTACGAGCATTTTTTTTTTTTTTTTATGTTCACGCGCATGGTTTTAATATGCGCATTAACTCATTTCTCCTCATACGTTTATTCTGAACTTCAATTATATGGTGTAATATGTATTTTTATTAGTACACTATTTTGTATTTGCACATAGCACTATATTTTACCGAGAAATATTATATGTTACACTAGGCTTCGTCTATCTGGTACCCAGACCCGGAGCCCTACGAGCTGTCATCATAAGTAGGCAACTGATTGCGGTAGGGGTACCCGGCTACGCCGGGCACGATAAGTGTTTTTCAGAAAAAATATTATATCAGAATCAGTGTTCATTTTTCAGATTTGAACCCCCCCGTATATAAGGAAATAGTCTGATTTTAAAAAAAAGTATGTCGAATGAAAGATATACCAAATGATAGGTAAAGACATCAAACAACTATAAAAAAAAAAAATTATATAGATATGTTTATTTTTGAAAAAGTTATGNTATTTTCATATTAATATTGTTAACTTATTTGGTTAGTATACAATAGTTTGATTTTTACAACAATGGTAACTTAACGGTATATTTGAAGATAAAAAAATGGTGAAAACATTTAGATTATAAATTTAATTTTTGAATATAAATTTTTTTTCTCGATATTGATATATTCAGATATCGGAAATAATTTTTATTTTCAATGTTGCTTAATAATATAGCTGTAATTTAGTACAATATCAATATCGTAAAAGAAATCGTTGACGTACTCTATAATTATAAGAGTAATCAAATGATGATAAGAGTTGTAGTATTTGCATTTAGTTGAACAATTCCGTTCATTATAGATATTTTTGGTTTTTTTTGTGAAATTCAATCTAGTATGTTTTTTTTTTAATTTTATTTCGCTAAAAGTATAAAGATTTAAGAGTGCATTTATCATTAATTGTACATCCACATATTAGAAATAAATTGTCAACTATAATTTTTTTTAATGAATTTGAATTCTGTACATTTTTAAGGGTATATAACTTGACTAGTTACCCAACACGATTTTTTAAAACTGATTTAGTAAAATTACAAGGAACATCTAAGGCGTATTTACTAGGGTGGCATTGTTGTAGTGTAATATATTTTAGTGAGTTTGTAATGACTAAATATCAACTATGTGTATTATTTGTATAAGTTACCTCTGTTGACAATGACTCGAGTTCGACATACTGGACATGTATCATTACTTTGTAACCATGGCAATATACATACTCGACAATATGTATGTGCACATGGTAGTGCATAAATATCTTCGCTTATCGTATTCTGACAAATAGGACATTCTACAAAATATATATAACAAAATAAAAGTAAAATATTATAATGCTAATATTAGAATGTTTTAAATATTTCAATAAAAGGTGTGTAACGTAAAATGTAAGAGTTCTGTTTTTTTTTGTATATTATATGACTATATTTAAAATTTTTTTAAATTCCCATTATCAACTTATTAGTCAAAGATGCTAAAAAATGGACGTACTAACATTCAATGCTTATTTTAATATTAATATAAATATCTTAAATTTCTTCAAATAAACTTTTCCTTATAAAATATTGAATTAGATAGGAATAATGAAAAAAAAAAACCCGCATAGTGGTGTCGTAGCACAGTGGTGACGTGACATATTTGAGTCAAGTATAATGTATATAAAGTATATGTATAAAATATATCTGACAGTGATTAAAATCACTATCATAAAAAATGCTTCGATGCAAATCTTTAGATAGTGTTTAATTTTAAAAAATTGGTGGATTATTCCAAAAGCTACATGATTTGCTATTTTCTTATTTATATCCTAATTAAGATAAAGTATTTTACATTTTTAACATTATTATGCTATAACTTTTTGAAAAATGAATGGATCAATACAATTTTTTCATGATAAGTAGTATTTATATACATCTTTCATTCGACATACTTTTTTTTATTAAATCGGATCATTTCCCTATATACAGGGGAGGGGTTCAAATGTAAAATATGCATAAGGAAAGTAGAACTTTTTCAACTTAACTTTTGAAAGAGTTCCAGAAAGTCTGACACTTTTATATATATCTTAAATTAAAGCTAATGTAATATACTTTATCATGAAGAAATAAAAATTTCGGACTTTATTTTATCTTTACGGATAAAATGGCTACCTAATGCTATTTTTGTGTGAAAATTCTCGATTTTATTTTTTACATTTTTAACTTTATAATGCTATAACTTATTGTAAAGTGTATGGATCAACACAATTTTTTTATGAGAAATAATATTTTTTAATAATTCCTCTTTCATTCGACATACTTTATCTTAATCAGGATATTAATAAGGAACTAGCAGATCATGTAGCTTTTGGAATACTACATCAATTTTTTAAAATTAAACACTATCTAAAGATTTGCTTCGAAGCGTTTTTTTTTATAGTGATTTTAATCACAGTCAGATATCATTATACTTGATCTAACTATGCCAAGTCACTACTGTACCGCGACACCCTATGCCGGGTGTTTAAAAAAGTTATGGCAGTTTTAAGTAAAAGAAATTGAAAAAATGTCGAAAGTTAGCGATTTTTAAATTTGTAATTTTTAAGTAGATCTCCCTCATTTAAGGGAAACGAAGAAATTTTTTTCAATATTTAAGGGTAATGTGTTCGACTAGATACGATTTGTGATTTTTTGACGTATTGTTGAAAGAAATCGATCTAGTGAGAGCTGAGAAAAAGTAGTAACAGTCACAAAAAAAAATTAAAAAAAAAAAAACACATCATAGTAAAACCAATACTTTCTCAGCTTCCATTCGAAGCTAATAAAAGAACAATTTCTTAAATAGCACTCATTACCAAATTAAATAAATTTATAACTAAAAAAATTGAGCCACATTTCCATTATATTAATCAATTATTTAAAAATAACTTTGTTTTTTAGAATATATAGAGTGCTAAGTAAGGATAAAGGTAAATTGTTATAAACAATGAGAACAATAGAAATTCGTTACTTTACTTACTGAACACCTATATATTACAATGTTAATATTAATTTATATTATATTAGAACCGATGAAAGGTCTATCGAAACTTTTTGGATCTATTTATGTATAAAAATAATAATAATTAATGTTAATTGAAAAAGCAAAAAAACATAATTTATTGTTTTATTTGTATAAATTTTACTTTGGTAAAAACACATGAATATATAAGACCTTATGATTAAAAATATATTTCGCTAATTGTAGTAAAGATTTATAAAATCAAACATTACATTACTATCATAACAAAATATGAAATTATTTATAATACTTATTATATTATTTGACCGAATGATTTTTAATTATTTATTTTTATTATAAGTTCCAAAAAGTTTAAAATGTAAATTACAACCGATTAAAGGTATATCGAAACTTTATGGATGTGTTTATTTATAAAAATAATAATTAATGTTAATTGAAGAAGCGAATAAACATAATTTATTGTTTTACAAAAAAAACTTAGTAATACACAATGTAAATCATATGTNTTTTATAAAAAAACTTCGTATTACACAATTGTGCCGTAATATTAACTTAATGGTAGTAATTTTTTGCTTACCAATTGAAGAACCAGCACCATCAACTTCAACTAAACATCGTAAATTTGTTGCTTTATTTAAGTCNCCAAAAAGTTTAAAATGTAAATTACAACCGATTAAAGGTATATCGAAACTTTATGGATGTGTTTATTTATAAAAATAATAATTAATGTTAATTGAAGAAGCGAATAAACATAATTTATTGTTTTACAAAAAAAACTTAGTAATACACAATGTAAATCATATGTATTGAGCCGTAATATTATCTTAATGTTAGTAATTTTTTGCTTACCAATTGAAGAACCAGCACCATCAACTTCAACTAAACATCGTAAATTTGTTGCTTTATTTAAGTCGCTTAAAGTTTTAAAATTTAAGAGCATGTGGAATTATTAATTGTATCCTATTATAATATGACACTCCTTTACCTTTCTTTCCTATTTTTTAATTTTTGTTTATTACACAATATTTATTTTTATTATCATAATTTTAAGAACTATAATTATTCGAAAATTAAACTAATTACTCACATTAATTAAATGTTAGCAATTTTAAAACAATTAGTTGTACATCCATAATAATGGTTCTTTTTTACTTTGACGGTTTGTCAAAAATTTAAGGAATTTCACATTTATGGATATCTAATAGTCCTTAATTTAGTTGTGATATAGTAATACAAATAATAAATTATAGTGGTATAGGACACCATTCCTATGATGATATTTAACATAAAGATTTTTCATCATCTCACATGGCAAAGTAGATTAGATGATTACAAAAGTTTTTTCCCCCCTAAAGTGAAATAATTAATTTTCTACTGAACCTCGCTAAAGTTCTGAACTATATACAAAAAAATAAGTTTCATTTCATTTAATTATAGAGTACCTATACTGAAATAAAATTTACTTCATGTAAAGATTATACGAAAAATTATCGTTTGAGCATTAAAAATGTTTCAAAAAAATTTTATTTTGATAAAAAAGCATGAACAATTATTTTGATTTTTTAATTAAAAAGTCACCTCTAAAGATGACCAAAGAGTCCTGTCTTTCTGGCGAAATTAAGTATCTCTCTGGGTTTTATTGAATTAAATATAACTAAAAATAGTCGACCATCAAATGAATTTTAACGTTGGTTGAATAACTAATCCCAACTATAGACAGGATTATAATTTAAAATTATTATTTCAAATCCTTAATATTCTTTTAATATTGTTTTGTTTAGTTTTTAGTTTAAATAAGTTTGATATTCATTTAATGTATTTTGTGTATTTAAAATATTGTCATTTTTTATGCACTTCTCTAATTTACAGGGGTTGAAGAGAATTTTTTTAATTTTAAAGGCCATTTTATTATATTTCTAAATTTTTTATTTTGTTTTATATTATTAACCAGTTATGATTTGTCATTTTTTCAACGACCTATCGTTTATTAGTTCAAATAATTGTTGAAGAGTTATAGGGATCGACGATCAGAAGTAGAAAGAACTAAAGATAATATGTGCAAATGGATTTTAACCACAGACGCAGGCTGTAATTTCAGGAACGTATGTATAAAATTACAAAAGGGCACAAAAACTGTAAATTAGATTTACTACTCCTTCACCTTATGATCTTTCAACGAGTACAAGAAGTACTCGGCAAATATTATAAATTCGCTTATTCATTTTATTTAATAAATACATAATAACTCAATCATTCTCATGCTCATATAAGACCAACCAGTAAAAAATGTTTTTATTTTATTTTAATAATTGTAACACAAATATTTTAATTGTATGTTTCATTTTAAGTCATTAAAAATTCTACCAAATAATAAGAGATATCGTGGATTTTATAAGAAAACAAATGAAAGATAATGTAATTAAAATTTTTCATTTCTGGGAGAAGAAGAGGCTAAGAAATATATTTCTTTTCTATAATTGTATTTATTTTATTAGTAATTATGTGATTTATGATAACGGATCACTCTGTATATCATTTAGAGACTTACCTTTCAAATAAAATGAAGTGAGCACCATAACAAAATATATTGAAAAAATATGCAATTTCTAAAACAAATTAAAAATTAATATTAATAAAAATAAAATTTAAATTAATCTCTATTTGTGCGAAATAAAATAATAAATAGCATATATTATACTAGAAAATTAACAAATAGGTATTTCAACTGCATCAATAGAATTCANAGAAAATTAACAAATAGATATTTCAACTGCATCAATAGAATTCATTATTGACAATTTTTGAATAATTATTTTTAAAACTAATAATTTACTAAAGAATAATTTTACTGTCTATTATTTATAAATCAATTAAATAATAAGCTCATTAGTTTATTAATTTATTTTATAATTGAAAAATTAAATTGTTTTACATTGCTAGGTATGTAGAATAATTTTACTTACCATTGTTCTAGTATGTACCAACAAATTTATTGTAAGCCGTAATAAAAATGTTTGGAAACAGACATAATTTATAAGGATTTGAAGTAAAATATACGTATTGGCAAACAAGGCATACTTGTAAAAATAAACATAATATATCTAGTATGTTTACAAAAATAATGAAATATTGAAATGCATTATATTTTTAACATAAATTATCATTTGTATGTTAAACTTTATAAAAATCACATTAATTATATTAGGTTATACTTTAATACTACTAAATAATGAATGACAAATACATATTTTAACAAATATGAATAGTCAAACTGTTGAACACGTCATAATATAACGTGTTCAAAAAATTGATACGATATATTAAATTGTAACAATAAATTTAATAATTATTAAATTCTAGAGAGCATTATTGCTCATGTTTTTAACTACAGCAGCTATTTGCACATAAAAAGATAAATCGTTGGGACAAATTTTTTTTCATTTTATAGTACATGACATAAGCTTTAATTTAATATATGCTTAAAGAACGCAGTATGTCCGGAAAATTTTCAAAAGTTAAGTTGAAAAAATTGACTTTTGTGAAAAAGTTGTTAGTTTTAATGTGGGCAAAGATTCAAATCTACAAAAAAATTATATCAAATAAAAGGGTAACCTAAAAATTCAATATAAAAAAAAATTTTTTAATTTGTTAATTTTTTAATAAGTACAAAAAACATTACACTAGAATGTGATTTTATTCGCAAATATCACATATTTTGTTGAATTTTGGCGGCTATTTGCACATAGAAGATATGGTGTCAGGACAAATTTTTTTTTTTGCAATATATATTGCGGAATATAAATTTTAATTTGAAATATGTTTAAGGGTTGCAGTATTCCCGGAACATTTTGAAAAGTTGAAAATGTTGAGTTTCGTAAAATAGTTAATATCTTAAAGCCCCCTCCTGTAAGCTAGTTTAGTGTAAAATTTTCATATAAATTACATCAAATGAAAGCGAAATATTTAAGGTTTCAATATAAAAAAAATTTATGTTGATTTCTTAATTTTTGAAAAAGTTATGGTAGTTTGAAAAAAAAATGTCATAAATTATAATTATTAAAATTGTAATTTTTTTGGAGGTTTCCCCCATTTACGAGGAAGGAGAGATATTTTTAATGGTAATGTCTTCAACTAGATTCAACGATTTGTGATCTTTGACGTATTGTTGAAAGAAATAGGTCCAGTGAGAACTGAGAAAAAATGGCAACAGACACAAAAAAAAACACATAATGGTAAAATTAATACCCTCTAAGCTTCGCGTTGAAGCTAAAAAGTTGATATACACAGTAATCGGTTTAGAATCGATTAATGACTGGTCGATTACAACTTTTGGTCAAGTATTTCAGAAGTTATTAACAATTTAGAGTATATACTAGAGATAAAGAATGGGTGTTACTACTTTTATCACTAGGCTTTTCCTGGCTGTACTCTTCGTCTCGCTTCCGTATAATAATGAATATAATATCTGAAGTGCTCATTCAAAAGTTGTTATCGATCAGCCATTTTCTAAATTAGATTATTTTCTATTTTATAAGCTAGTTAAATATTTTTGTTAACTTTAAAAAATAAAGTTGACATGCCTTCAAGTTATAAGGGATGATTCTAAAAAGTAATTATTATCTTATAAATCAATAAATATAATTAACTAAAAGAAATAAAAATTTATTTTTCCAATATTGTATTTATTTTATAGGAAATCTCTATAGTTTTATCTTATTTTTTTCCTCGCCTTAATCCAAACTACTTGGAGTTAGCCATAATATAAAGTTGTATAAAATAGTAAAAAACAAAATATTTCATTTGTGAGGACAGATCTAATCAAAATGATATATGTGAAAATGTATATTTGAATGATTATGATTACTCATAAATAATATTTGGAGTTCAAATGGAAATATTTTTAATTCGATTAATATTTTAAAATGTTTTTTTAAAATTATATGTTATTTCGTTATTCATAAATAATTTGTCATTAATAATCATAAAACAGAAATTGTATTCTACGATAATTCTATATTTTTCCATCAAAAATTAATTTTCAATTAATTCAATGATTTAACTAAAATTTAAATTAAAATTTAAAGTCGACCGAGGGACTTGTGACAATTTAGATCATTCATACTTAAGTACTAATATCTTACTTAACTAATTGTAAACAAGTAAATTTTGACTTGATTAACTACTAGTCAAAATGATGTATGTTAAGTTAACCAATGTAGTTTAAATATTAAATATCAATGTCTATACCACTTCTCGAAATTTGCACAAAACGTTACTCGGTATGGCAGAACAGCATTGTAAAACCCTCCGACATGTCATCATTTAAGAGTTTGCTCATTGTCAGATGATACGAGTCTTTAGTTTTTACAATGGATAAATAAATATAATATGGCATGCGTAACGTTAAGTCGTTGACTATTCATCATCACAAAAGTAATTAATAACAAAAAGGATATTATAAAATAATCGTGATATAAAATATAATTCATCAGTCAGTTCGAGGCATAAACACGTTGGTAAGCGTTCGCTTTAATAATGTCAAAATTTCATTCTAATTTCTTTAAAAATCATTGGCATACACAAAAGTTAAAAAGTTCACTTGTGGTATGTTTCATAATTGTCAATGGGTATGATGAATCATTGGGGTCGTAGAATTGAACCTTTAGTTGGTCGCCACTTTGTCGTATGCTCCACGGCATGATAATACACATACACACAAGGTTAAGTTCAAAAAAGACAACGATTTATTACAGAATATTTCATATTGAACATTTCAAAATATAATAAAATAAAATCTTTGCGAACACAATCAACAGCGCCTTTCTTCATAATCTTTTTTACCAAGCTGTTGTGTTTCCAGTGGTTTTTTATTAAATAAATAAATAATTACTCCGTCAGTTAAATATTACCACTATATATTTTATACACTATATATATATAAATACAATACCAAAAATGTCACGACGGCTTATTCCGTGAGGACGTTGAATTATGTTATTGTGAGTGAGACTTGTTAGTGGCCGGCGACCTGGACCGGTTCAAGCCGCCCGTCGGCCCCTCCATATGGCGCGACCTGCCGGACGTAAAGGGAAAGCGCCGCGATCGCCATCCAGTGGTAAAGCTGGAGTCGCGATGCGACCGCGACAAAGCTTCCATGAGTTCAATTTAAAAAAAAATCCCTAGATCATATAAAAATATTATAAGAACAAAGTAGTTTGTAATTTTTTTTCTGTCCTGATATCAACGTAAAAATAGATTCCAATTAAATGTTTTCAATAGTTTCCGAGAAAATTATGGTCTTATCCTTAATTAACACTGTTTATTAATTAGTCACATAATCAGTCGACCACCTATATTTCTTCTTTGACTGGAGAAGTCGGTAGATCAAAATTTCATCTTCAGCAGGATTTAGTGTCTTAGATAACAGAATAGTGTGCTTCTACTCGCCCTTTTTCATCACCTTCTTTACTAAACTTCCTTGAGTTCAATTGTGAAACGTGAGCAGTAAACACGATAAAATCCTTCATCGAAACAATTCTCTTTAAAGGCTTTTGCAGTAAAATATGATCCTCGATTCAACACCAACCTTCTGGGCAATCCATTCCTTTGTTCGAAAGTTTGCACACATGACAACAACCCTTTAGTTGACGTATCTGGTCATGTGAACATCAACACAAATTTAGTCATTTTAACGAACATTTAAAACTATTTCTAAAAGAATTATTGTCTTATTATCATACTTAATTTAAAAATATATCCACAAAAAATTCTTAGTTATTACTACATTTTTTTAAATCCAAAAAGATCACAATGCACAAATTATGAGCTAAGCTAATTCTCGTCTAATAATCGGGTTATTTTGGCAAATACTTTAACCAGTGGTTCTCAAGATTCTATTTAATGACAGATATAAACTAACGGTTTGGCGGTAATGAAAAACCTACCTTAATCAAATTTGGCGGAAACGATGAACCTTCATAACTTCTCTAGTGTCCAAGTATTCTTTGCAAGATTTACCTTTCAAAGTTGATTAATTTATTTTTGTCAGATTCGGTAGATCTCCATGCACCACAGGCATACAGTACAATTGGTCTAACGAGGTATAATCTTATTTTTGTCCTTCTTGATAATTTATTGTAACAATTGACCTGCTTCTTTACTTTTTTAACACTCTGTGTAATATTCATATAAAAGACGTTATATCAACGGTATTTTTATAACAGGATCACTATTATAGAGGTTATTTCAACTACATAGATCATTCCGTACAGATAGTGAAGATGAAAATAAAAATATCTAAAAAAAGAAGAATTTAAGCATTTGAATTTTCTTTGCATTTTTGTAACTATAGACCACCTAAATAAAGGTCAATTAATTTCATGCTCCTACTAATTCAAAATAAAAGTTTTATACTGCATACTTTTTTTAATAGATTTTTTTTAAACATTTTTTATTAATAACTTTTCAACTACGAAAATATATCGTATTAACATGCTAAAATATTCATACATTATCTTGAAAAATATTTTCATAACTTCGTTGTGGAGCTCTTATTTGGATTTCAATGTTTTAATTACAAAACGTGGGCGTTCATTATTGTTCTACGTATTGATTTAAATGTACAATCTTAGATATATCTAGTGAATTTTATTGGATTGTGCTGGTTTTAAACAAAAATTCAGTATTAGTCACTGTATTTTTTTTATAGATTTGATATTATGTGTCTGGAAAGGAGGAAATGGATCAAAACTTTATTGCGAAAATTAATTAATTAAGCATTAAAAATAGGTAAAAAAAGCAAAACTCTTCTTATGAATGTACACATTAAAAAATTAACTAAGTACCTTAGTGATAATGATTATTTATTAAACAATAAATAGAATAATTATTTATTTAAACACCAATAAAAGACATAATAATTGTATAAAATAATTCATTAAGATAATTTTACAATGGTAGTCACGATAATTAATTTTACTTATTTTATGAAAACATTA